AGACTATAATACAGCTTTATTTATAGCTACCATAATCCCAATTAGGGTCTGTTTTAGGGTACTTATAAGTCTATATTGATTACCTATTCCAACTTGCCTTTAATGTTTAGGGTATCCTAGCTCCTGCTCTGGGCGAAGTAGAAAGCCTGTTGCAAAAGGGTTTAGGATACGGTTGGCTTCACCCTCCTCCGCAGCACCTGGGGTTGCAAGATGCTTCGAGACTTCAATCATGCAGATGCCCGAAATGCTTCACAAAGCACCTAATCGACTTAATGTAGGGGCCTTAACATTGTCAACAGGGTTTTGGGGGCTCCTGATTATAGTTATAGCATAATATACCCGGCCTCAAAACCCAATTCTAAGCTGGGATCCAAGGCGAGACAGGGTTGCAGTTCCAGGAAACCTCGGCTTTTCTTCCGACTTTCCCTGCACCACTAAAGCCTGCGCGGTGAACGCTGTCCTTCAGTGTAGTCGCCAGAGGCAAGATTCCTGCTTTCCATGCAGGAGATTCGAACCTGTGTGCTCTGAGTAACGGCTTGTAGTTTGTAAGAACAGCTTCATTGTATGTTAGGATTTGTTCTTCGGGTTCAGATTTTTTCTATCTGGGTGTAGTGCTTTTGGGGTTGTGGGCCTGCGGATGTTTAGGTCTTCAGTTTGTAAGTGTGATGCGGTCTACTTTTTGCTGTGCCCGGCGGCCTCTGTTTCCAGCCTGGTGATTGCAACAAGAGACCCTCCGTCAAGCAAGGAAAAATTTACTTGGTCTCCACTCCTTACCTAGGCTCGCATCCACGACAACAAGGCAAAAGGACTCCGTCATTGCCGCTTTCTCGTGGACTTTGTCGATTAACGGCCCTCCTTTCGAAAGTGAAGTTCTTGAAGGCAGTCGAGAGCTTTGGCATAAGCAACAACAGTATACTTCAACTACCTCACGAAGTCAGCTGTCACAGACCTAAGTACGATTTACGGACAATCTGGCAAACTAAGCACTCCGGTCATGTTCATCCGCCTGCGAAGAAGCTAAGCCACCTGGTTTCGTGTTCAAAGGCTCGTGGCCACAAGCTGGCTTTTCGCCGGCTGAAAGCAGACCTCCCATTGCAATGAGAACAAGGGCGGGCAGCCACCCCACCGAAAGCTGTTCAGCCGTTCAGCTGTCAGCCAAAGTTGTTGCATGTGCCAGCATTGGCCCAAGACGTCTGCTGCAAGTGTCGATTGCAGCCATGGGGACGAAGCAGCGGAAGGCGAGTCGAAGCACTTTTGCTGGCACTGCGGCCAATATTGTCTCATTTAACACCACTTCTGTAGTCACTAGTTGTGTTGCCCGATTCGTTTCATTCTGACTGGTTCTTCCAGTGCAGGCTGTCGCTGCCAACCGTTTTGTTTCATGTCGTCATTGTGTTCTTGTGGCCACCAGATGCCCCAGACCAGCTGCGCTGCCAAGACAAGCGACAATGATATTCTGCATGCACTAACACCAGCGAAGACAAGCACAGTCGTCGTTCAGTGGTTTCGTGAAAGCAGTGGTAATGATGTGTCAATGGGCTGACAAGAGTACTGCTAGTGTTGACATTGCTTCGATCTTTCTGGTTTGTGTACGAACTCCCCCAAAACCCCAGAAAGCAAGCAACAACCCTTTCCAATGCAGACGCAAATCCTGAAACCCAACTAAACCCTATACCTGTTAGCCTTTACCTACCAAAACCTACGTGTTTGTAGGGCACCAAGGTAGTTTGTGGAAGGCTTAGGTAGCCGTTGAACTCTGACGAGGCCCTCCGCAAGAAGCAGGTAGGCTTGGCCATGAAGCGCCTCAGTGCCGGTGACGACCGAGTGAAGCCCGAGTCGCTTCTTTGATTGACTTCCAGAAGGCTTTGGGGTTTAGGGTTTAGGGTTTAGGGTTTAGGGTTTAGGGTTTAGGGTATGGCGGTCGGGATACTTAGTAGTGGCGGTAAAACATCTCCGCTTTACAAGAAGGGTATTATACCCATACACCAACAGCATGTTCTAATTTCTGGTAGCCTTTCCATCAGTCTGAGTCTTTGGTGTTGAGGCGGTTTGAGATTATTTCAGGCTAACAGGGTGCAGAGTCTAAAGGCACGGTTTACGGTTCAGGGAAGCGTTGCGCATACTATGCGAAGCGAGCACTCACAGGACTTAGCTGTCAAAGGCTGTTCTGCTTGAGAACGGGGCTGTCCCGAATTCCGATTCCATTTATATATTCAAGTCGGCACCGAAAGATGCAGCATTCTTTGGGCTTCCAACCCCAGCTTTCAATTTTGGTAGACAGATTTCCTGGCTTGACCTCAGTTGGGGGAGTGTTGGAGGGGCAGGCATAACTGTAAAGTCCTGCTTCAAAACAAGACTCGGAATCTGATCCCCTCCAACCTCAGCGTCCCGTGCCGTAGCCGTATACCACAAAACCATCTTTAGCCTAAAGTAGCGTTTAGAGGTGCATCATACCGTGATGCCCGGGATTGCAAAAATCCCGAGAAAATCGAGGATCCTACCCTGCAGTCGATTATGGAAGCCTTCATACTTATAGTAGACTATGAATAGAATAAGCAGCCCCCGAACTAGTACAGGTAATTGTAAAGGCCCTATGATATATTGCGGACCCGGTACCTTTGCATCCGTGCATTTGGAGTTCCTGGCATTCAGCCCATTGCTCAAAACCTCGAAGCCGCCGTCCAGTAGTATTGCACAGCATCTGCGGCCCGTCAAGAACCACCACCATCCCCATCCCCATCATCGTCATCATCATCATCACCATCATCCCCATCATCATCATCATCATGATCGTCATCATCATGATGTGAAATTTCGGCTTCGTCGTCATGGCCATCGCCATGCTTGCAATAATGAACCGAGCCGAGGAAGGCCAAAGCAGTCATCAAGACGCTCGGCCCTCGGCATTGAGGGAAATCAAGAGTTTTTAGGCTTTAGGCCCAAAGGGTCCAAGCAAACGTGTAGTATATACTTTAGGCCTTTAGGGTCCAAGTACTAAGTAACTGCTATAATTGGCTATAATGGTACTTGGACCCTTTGGGAGGGAATTTGGTTTCAAATTACGGATTGGGCTACACGGGCTTATAGCAATACTGCTGGTTTAGGATGGGGATTTGAGTTTGAGTTGCCACAATACGGAGGTCACGGCATCGAATATCTATCCGTACTCATTTTATATGGTAAGTCATACAACGAGGCGTTCTGGATCGAACCTGAGGACAGGTATTGCTAGGACCCCAGTGCCCCTTTTGTGGCACGACCTGAGCCATTAAGACCGGTTCGCCGGCGTGGCACCGCAGGCAGCGCAAACGCCGCTCGATCCTGCGCAGGCGAGTCCACCGAGCCCGAGCTGCTGGTGGGCGACCGGCTTTAGCAGCTGCGGCCGAGCTGAGCCGACACCACTCACTGCCGAAGTACAGAGAGCTTGCCCTTCTTCGCATGGGGAAAAGAGGAGGCAGATGGCAGTCAGAGAAGTGGCAGCAACCCCACGAAGGCCGAGGTGGCAAGGATGGGGGCACTTGTGGCCTGGCTCTTACTCCTCGGCATCTCCTCACTCACGCTCCCACAGACTCCGGTACGACGACGTACAGCTGCCGGACAGGGAGTACAAGCAGTGGACCAAAGATGTGGAGGAACCCGTGGAGCAAGGCGATACAGTACTTCTCCGCGCTATTCAAAAGCAAGTCTCAGCGGCGCGCAAGGCCGACGGCCGTGTGAGGAAGCTCCAGGAGGACAAAACGTGGCGCATCGCACAGTGGAAAGAGTACGAAAAGAAGTGCATGCGGGACTTCCTGGAGGAGAAGAAGCGGCACTTGGCCGATCTCGAACGCATGGATGCCGAGATCCGTGCAGCAACCTCGCAAGGGAAGGAGGCCTCGAGCACGGTCCAAGCCCTTGCCACGGGAGGTATGGAAGCAGTTCCCCGTGCAATGGAAGACACCACTCCTTGGGACGATCTTCTCCAAGGCCAGGAAGCGGAGGCGCCACAAGGCTTCCTTCAGGACGCCCTGAAAGCAGCCGAGCAAGCCAAGGCATCGGCCCAAGCTGCGAGACCACCCGATGGGGGGCTACTGACACAGGAGCAAATGGCACGGTTCATGGCGATGACTATGGCCAACCTGCCTATGTTCGCGAGCCACAATGCCCCACCAGGCATACCGACCGGAATCCCTCCAGGGGGTTGGCATCCACAGGCACAGGCCCCAGCTGCATTTCCGCCGCCGCCTCCGACGGACCACTACGGCAACCATGCGACCATGGAGGCCAAGAAGGAGCCACCCCCATATTCGGCAGGCCATGCGGACAACACGGTCAGGGAGCCCTTCTTCGCTTCTCCGAGCGGGGACCGATTGAAGCGTACAACATCGGTCTCCCCGAGAGTCAATCCCTACCAGTCCCACCGGGCCGCGGGGGACGATGCCCACGAGGGACAGACATCCACGGTCAGCAACCATGCCGCCATGGACTCGGAGAAACAGGTCCGTGCGAGAAAGGCTATGGCACCCTTCGGTGTAGACCCCACCAAAGGCCGAGGGGAGCACCCAGATGCGACGACTATCTCCGAAGACGACGAGGACCTGAACAATGCCAATGGGCCTCACGACCCCGGAGGTGCAGCACATCCAGGCATTCCACCAGGACTGACCGGTATGGAGTGACATGCCTCGATAGGCATGGGCCATCGGCGCCATCCCCCTTGCTTCGCTGCCACAGCAGGCTGCCGGGACACTTCACCGCTGTAACCTTTGGGTGGTTACTTCGGTTGATACTTCCCGTCGGTCAATGCTCTGGCTTTGAGGCATCTGGGAGGGAGGCCTTTCGGTCCATGCGGTCTCACCTTTTCAGGTTTCTAGGTGCCTCCTGCAAGCCCCAGTCGAGATGCCACCTCGGCGAGAACCAGCCTCCCATGTCATTGGGCCAGACGATTTTGCCACACTGGGTTTGTGTGGCAGACCTACGCCCATTCCGGCTCATACCTTCTCTGTGGCGTGTCGATTTCAATGTCCTTCCGCCCACAGCAGTATCAGCCAACTTGCCTCCTCCCCTCGCCTCCTTGTCTTCCATTCGGGACCAACCGGCCTTTTGCTCGGTCCCTCTTCTTGGGCTCAGCCCACCACCCCGCTACCAACCGGATGTTCAACTGTCCTTCCCGGTCGCTGCGGGTGAGCCCCTCCCAGGGGTGCATAGTCTTCCTCGTGGGTCAGGTGCCGAGCCATTCCTTTCTTGGACTGGTCTCGACGTCTGTCTCCATCCGTCCTCCTCGCGAGGTTTTGCAAGCCATCGGATTTGTGGTTTTGCTTGGCCTCCCACAGGTCCTGGTCCTGGGTCTCAGCATACTTGGGTTCGGTATGCTGCTTTCCCGCCTCCGGACTCTTCTTCCTCCGTCCTTGGAGATGCCGGCCTTCTTTGCCGTGCTTCCTCTTGGGCTCCGCCGTTGCCTCGGCTCTTCGCGGTCTGCCAATCCTGGCCTCGTCCTTCCACAGCCCCCGGCTGCTACAGTGTATTGCCAATTGGCTGCCTCGCTTGCAATCGTGACTTTCTCGGCTTCGGCTCTGCGCATATCGGTTCAGCGATACCGCTCTTTCATGGAGGTTTCGGATACAGCGTGCCTAACACTTGCATCGGTGGCTCTGGGGCAAGGACCTGTACCGACCTCCTCTACTTAGGTGATACTGCTGGTTTTGGTCACGGAACTTGTAATCCCCCATCCCCTAGGGGTTTAGTCCGGTTTCCTCCCCCAGCCAATCCCTGCCATGCACAGGACGAGCACCCGTGGGTTGCATGGTGCGCCTCGCACCTGTGCGCATTTTGCGCTACAGGTGCGCTTTGCAGTCTTTGTGCCCTTCTCCGACTTTGGATTAGTGCTTTGCTAGGGCGCCGCCCTGTCAGTTCTACCTCAGGCGGACGCTTGTGTGCCAGCCCCTTTCTGCAACCGGTTATCTTTCTTGCCAGGGCTGCGAATTGTGATCGCCCTCTCCTCGTCTGGACAGGTACACGATTCCCCGCGCGCAAGTCGCGGCGCCGCCGCCCCTCGGTGTCTCCAGGCTGGCTGCCTTTTTTGTGCCAGGTTTTGCTTGGACACTCGCTGCCCCTCAGCGTTTGGGCAGCCCCTGGTGGTGCAGAAGGTGCTGCTGCTCTTACGGCTTCCCTTGCCACCCACGGCCCCGTCAGCCACCTTAGTGACAGCGCGGCACTGTCTCCTGCTCTCTCTTCGACTGGTGTGCCGCTTTCGGGCGTCCCTGCGAATGTCATCGATGTTGCCCAGCTAGCTGCAGACTCTGCCGATCCCAATCTGCACTGTCTTGTCTTTGCGGCCGGCTACCGCACCGAACACTTGGTCTTGGACGTACCATGCGACATCACTGCTGATGCTCTTGTTGCCCGGGTACAGGTTGCTTCAGCCTTGGTGCAGCGGCTTTCTCCGGCCCACCTTTTCCCGGCACACCCGCAACCTGGACAGGGGTATGCTAGTTTTGTTGTTGTCCCAGATTGGGTGCCCGCCGATCGACGTCAGGTTGTGCTTCTTGATTTTGCACGGATGCGCGGCCCTGTTTTTGCACACGTCTTCCACAATCCCCTTACATACCGGGATCTTGTGACAGAGGCTGTTGCACAAACTGACGAGCTCTGGCATGCATATATACCCAACAGCTTCGAACCCCTTGCTGTTGGCTGCGAAGTCACTCTGTCGAGTGGTGATGTGATCAGCTTTTCACCCCGGGATGTTCCGCTGGCACGGGATTCAGACCTCACTCTGCTGCTGTCCAGACCCTCGTCATGGCAGCGTGAGCCCGACCACATCCTGCTTGAGCGGCCTACTTCTGCCTGGCTTGTTATCCTGCCGCAGTCCGTGCAAAGTTTCCCTTTCTACGGAACTTTTACTGCCGATTTGCAACAGGCCATCGCCGATCACATGGACAGTCAGGTGCAGCACATCAGCTTCGGGCACCCCACTGAGCCACTAACCGACGTGGTGCATCGCGGGCGGCTCTTCGATAAAATTGCTGCCGCTGACCACCGGTCAGAGAACCTGCCTCCCGGCCCCAATCTCGGGGCGTTTGTGTTCCTTGACGCGAGGCAGTCTGCCCGCGGCCTCGGCTTTTTATTCGAAGGACATGGAGCTGTCGTTCCTACCCAGGACGGTGTCCGAGTGCTTGGCTTACGCCCTCCGCGCGGTTTCCGCACCTACGCGGAACACGTTTTCCTTCGACGCGAGGGCCTTCCAGTCGTCGATGGATGCGTCTTGGTTCTGGGCTATGAGTTTGATGAGGACACAGTTGGCACCGTGCCTGCAGCAGCCGCCCCTGGTGCTATTGCTAGTGTCACCGACGAGAGGCTCGACAGCGCTCCCTCTGGCGCAGCCGGCGAAGCAGCCTCCCCCTCCCTCGGACCTGCCCCACCGCCGCACATCGGGTTCCTAGTCCTTAGCCCTCGGGTCGCGCCCATTACTCTCGAGATTCCGCTCGAGATCCCGTGCTCCCCCCAGCACGCTTGTGAAACCCTTGCGTCACAACTGCGGACAAACTTGGCCACCACGTATGAACATCTTGTGGTCGCCCAGCCACAACCGGACCGCAGGTTTTGCACTTTCATTGCCCTCCCGTTATGGGCCACACATGTGGTCTGTGTGGTCGTGGATGCTCGGGCTGTCGACGGGCGGCTCTTTGCCATGCACTTGGACAGTGGCCTCTTTCCACGCTCCATCCTTGTCCAGATCAGCCTCCGACCATCCCTAGGATTCCGGGTTATGCATAATGATTATGTGCATCAAGCCCAAGAAGCGATCTTCCTTTCAAAGGGAGATGTACTCTTCATCCTCCCTGCCCGAGCTGCTGCTCCAACCCCCCCCAGGCTCCCAGACATGTTGTACCAGCTCGACGGCTGGCACCTGCCGGTACCGGACTTTAAGGGATTCCTGCAAACCCCCTTTTATTTGCTCACCGATGCTTGGAACACTGTTGCGGACTTCCCGGCCTCCGCTTCCACCTCTTATGCAGCACTCAGACAGTTTGCTATCGCATTCCTGCGATACGAGGATCATAGATCCTCCCTTCAGACACTGCACCCACGTGTAGCTGACTACAACTTCCATGGCATCGTGTGTCGCGCTGTTCTGATTGCCACGGAGCAGCCTATTGGTCCTCCGGTTCCGCCTGCAAGGGCCAGGCCGCCATGCATTGCATATGCCATTGATAGGCGTGCTGTTCTAGCGGACATTACCTGGCACATCACTCCCACCGGCCGAGTTGATCTCGATGCCCTCATGCGGGAGTTTAACCAGCACCGTCCGGTTTCTATACTTCCATCACAGGCGGTTTGCCAGAATGCGAAGGCACCAGGACCTTCTTGCGTGTCGACAATGGCCAGGTGCTGACCGTCGCATACGAGGAGGACCTTCTTGAGCCGGACCGCCACGGAGACAGCACCCCCCCCGATGACGAACCGGATGATTCCGACTCCAGCAGCACTTCCTCCGCACCGCCAGCAACCCCTAAACCAGCGCCCCGGCCCGTGCCCGGCGCACGTAACCGTAAGCGACGGCTCCCTGACGGCACTCCGGGCACCGGTGCTTCCAGCGGCCACACCGTCGCTGTCAATGTTTTCATGGGCTGCCTCGTCAGTGCACAAGTACCAGCTGCTGCTGCCGTGCTTGCAGATACGCCTGGCCACTGCCAAGGTCTCGGCATTCTTACTGCATACAGCTGCCTTACCATACTGCGGTGCTACTGGGGTTTCATTGTCGATGTTCTCCTTTTCGTCATGCTGTGGCTGTCCTGTGGCCTTCTTGCCTGTACCGCCGCCTCCCACCGCCAGGCCAAGCTTCTACTCGAGCCCCGAGCCCACAACAGCCCCATGCGACACGCCCTAGCTGCCTTGCGCTACTTTGCGCCACGCTTGGGCGGTGCTTGGCGATATATTCCTGCAGCAGACGCCGAAGTCATCCCCGGCTCCAGCGGTTCCGAAGAAGGAGATGAGACACCAGAGGACAGCCTTGCCCTCTTTACAGTGCTTGCTTCAGGCTATGCACCAGAACAGGTAGCTGTCATGGTGCAGTTCCCCGCCACCCTGACTGAGGCCCTCGACACTGTGCAGCTTGCCCGTCACAGCATCCACAAGCATTGGTTGCATGTCCTTGTTCCTGTCGAGCCCCAGCCGCAGCCGGGCATTGGTACCGTCATCGCACTTGCCGACTGGCAGAGACAGGATAGATTCGTCTGCATCGACAGCTCCCAGCTCGACGGGCGACGCTTTATCGTTCAAGCACCTCATTATGCTGACAGGCTTGCACTCCTGCACCTTGCCGATATTCAGCTAAACCTAGGCATTGCTGTTTACATTGGGGACGATCCACAGCCACTCGGTGATGATGCCCAGGTGCAATTGTGGACAGGCCTTGCAGTTTTCTTTCTGCCACCCGAACGCCGTCCACCTGTGCCCTACTCCCTCGCCTGGACCCTAACAGACTGGCGTATGTGGCGCCAAGCCCTGCCGGAGGCCCTGCAACCAGCACCTGATGCATATGCCCTTGTTTATCATGACGAGGTTGCCTTGCACATCACTGACCCCAGACGCCCTACCCGGCACCGCCACCAAATTGCAGCCGCCCTAGGTATCCCCCTTGCGACACTACAGCTTGTGCCCGCGGTGCCCCGGATAACCAACGCTGCACTCACCGGGCTCCACTGCAGAACCGTCCTTGCCGTCTGTGACAGCTCTGTCCAAGGACCGCTGCCCTGGTGTGTCGTCCTCTTGGATCTCCGTGCCCTACTTCGTGGGTGGAGCACGGTTGTCGCTCCGCATCATCGGCTCTCTTGCGACAGCTTGCGCGAAGACCTCGACAACCACTCCCCTCCAGGTTGGCAGGCGTGCCTACACGATGTCCCGGATGGACATGATGTGATCGACGTGCACCCGGGACAGGTTCTTGTTGCATACTACCGGCCAGGCCGTGTTGCCATCCCTGCTGCTCGGGTTGTCTCGCCCTCTGCCGGTGACGCTACACCCCAGCCGCCAGAAGCAACCGGTGCCGCCACTCCTAACGAGACCACGCCCCTCACACATCCCAGCGGCCCCCCCAGATCGTTTGGTCCTGCTAGCCATCCAGCTGCGACATCGTCGTCCACAGGGCCATCTGCTGGCCCGACTGCTGACGACACTGTAACAACTGCCAATGCTACACCAGCAGCTGCTGCCCAACCCGAGTACCTGCCTGGCGTTTTCCTTGTCCTAGCACAAGACTACTGTCCAGAGCTTGTCCATGCACGGCTTCCGGTCGGTTGTCCTGATAGCCTTGCGCTTGACCGTGTTAGTGCAGCCAGAGCTCCTTTCTCTCGTGTCTGCATGCCCAGGCTCATCGCTGCCTATCCGCAAACTATTGCAGGTGTCGCCCTCCTCCTTGCCCTCCCATTTTGGGCACCGGACGGAGTTACTGTTGCGTGTGATCTCACACGCATCACTGGGGTCGTCTTTGCCTTGCAGTTGCCTCGCGTTGTCCGACGTGACGGCCTCCTTCGTGCCTTGGGCGTCGCTACCGATGCGCGCGTGGATCTCTACCTCAGAGACCTGCCCTGGCCCATGCCCCATGGGGCGGTCTATGACCTCCGCGACGGTGACACTGTTGTTGTCACCCCTGCAGCACAAGCCGCACATGCACCCATCCCCACAGGCTCACTCGGTGCGCGTCTTGCCTCAGCCGCTGCCTGGGATCCCACTTGGGGTCCCGACGCCACATATGCAGACACCGTATGGCTGCTCACCGAAGTTGGCCATTTTACTCATGTTGTACCACCCGGCAGGCGCTCCTTCTTTCGGGATGACGTCGCCACGTTGCTTGGCGTCCGTGCTGACCGCATCACCTTTGCGGCTCCCGATCCTGCCATCAGGGATCATGCTGAGAAAGGGGTTCTTTCGCTCAACGTCATTGCAGTGCTTGGCGACGAACCCCCCGACCTCGAAGTGCGACAGGGTGGATCCCTGTGCTTCATTGACAGTCGACCGATCCTTACGGGCATCTCCCGCATTACTGTGCCTGGAGGAGGTCTGGACACAGCACGCCTCCACCAACGCTTTGATCCGCGTTGCCCTGCAGGATATCGATTGTGCCGTTTGCACCCCGACCATGGGCCATGCCTGCTCCCTCCTGTCTTGAATGTGCAACATGGCGAGGTCATCGTTCTGTCATTTATGCCAGCCGAAGCCAATCCCATTAATGTCCCGCCCGAGGACGGCCCCGGCCCTGGACCGGGTGGAGCGCCCCGTGGTCCTGCTATTACGCCTACCGCCGGTGATGCTGCCTCTCCTCCTGCCACTGACAATCCGGCACCGAGTACAGGACAGACCGACGCTGGCACCGGCGGTACCCAGCGAGCCCGCGATGGCCCATCTTCAGACTGCATCGGCCTCTTTTCCCCCTCCAGGCATCCACACAGTGAACAATGTGTCAGTCGAGTTGTTAAGTGGCGACAAGCTAGTTCTGCTTCCTACTTGGCGTTCACCTCTATCCTCCTGCATCTTGTTCACTGGGGCTTGCGTGCTTTGCGCGGTGCGGCCTCCACTGCAGGCTCACATGTTGTTGCCTCTTTTGTTGTGCCTCACCGTAGCCGGCACCGCCCCCCACCAGGTCGGCGCCTCCGTCGACCGACAGCACTCCTCCTTGTCCTGATCGTTGTGGCTGCTCTGCCACTTGCCGCTGCGACCACTCCCGGTGGCGCGCCTCCCGGCGCTGTATGCCACTCCTTCTGTGGCTCAGGCCTTGCCTATGCTGTCGGTCGGCTATCACGCCCCGTTGCCACTCCTTGTCGAGCTCCAGCGGCCGTCAGGCGTCCGTTAGGTGTAGCAGATCCCACAGATGCCCTTATCCGCCCGGGTACTGTCACCCATGGGCTCGAGTTGCCAGACGACCTACCTACGTTGCTTGATCTCGCCGCCAGGCAGGACAATACCTGGGCACTACAGGCCGCCACCCTGCTTGAGGGGCTTTTCCGGCATGGTGATGATGGCACGCAGAGCTTGCCCTCTGTTGCACGCGCGCCGGCCGTCGAAGTTTCTGCCAGGCCTTCACCCACTATCCAGCTTGCCTCAACTGTGCCACTCACTGCCTATCAAAGTAGCTGTCTTGAGCTACAGGCTCTGGTGCCCCCTGTTGCAGCCGCTACCGCTGTCGACTGGCTTGACAACGATCTCCGGCCACTGCTTACAGCACCGGATACCTCCCCCGAGGTCCGCCATGCTATCCCAGCCATCACCAACTGGCATACAGCTGGCGGTCATGGGAGTCTCCTCCCCGCCCTCGTACACATTTATACCGATGGCTCTGCCCACGGGACATATGAGCCCCTCGCTAGTGCGCCCTGCGGTTGGGCCTTTAATGTGTGGATTGAGACTGCTAGCGGGTGGTACTTTTATGGCTTCGCAGCCGGCACAGCTGTGCCCCCTTTCACCCGTTTCCATCTGGGTGAGATGGATGACTCGCCTCTTACAAGCGAGCTTCTCGGCGCTGCTTGGGCATTGGTTTGGGCTGCCGAATACGGCCCCGTTTTCGACTGCCCGCTGCACCTCCACTACGACTGTGCTGCTGCAGGTGAAGGCACTTTTGCCCAAGCAGTACCTGCCAGCGTCCCCACTGTTACAGGGGGGCCCAGCCTTAGCCACGTCGCCGTTGCTCTCCGGCACATTGCAGCTGCCCGTGTTGCCCTTACCTCTGCGTATGTGCCAGGGCACCGGGGTGAACTCGGCAATGAGATCAGTGATTCTCTCGCCAAATACATCCGCCGACAAGCCCTGCCTCTGGATGAACGTGTCCTCCCCGACTGGCCAGCGCACCTAGTGCAGCACGAGCTTCTAGACTGGGCCTGGCTCGCACACGCTTGCGCTGCTGACCTCCCCACACTCTTTGCATTTGAGTCTGAAGCTGGGCGCCTGCAAGCCCTCTGTTCACAGCCACGGCCTGCTCCACATTGTGGAGTTACCCAGACTGATAACGATACCGTCGCACCCGTGCGGTATTGCATCAAGGCCGTCACGTTCAACATTCTTACCTTACTTGAAAGCACACACGCCAAGCGTCGTGTTCAGACGCACGCTGGCCTGCGAATGATGGGACGGCGACATGTCATCCTGCGACAGTTGCAATCTCAGGACGTGCTTTTTGCGGGACTCCAAGAGACACGAGTACAAGACACCGCTCTGCTTCCTGACCGGACCCATATTCTCCTCCATTCTGGGGCAAGTGAGGCTGGGCACTATGGTTGTGCCCTCTGGATCAGTAAAACTGTTCCTTATGCACATGTCAATGGCAAGCCTATGTGCATAGAACCTCAGCACTGCACTGTTTCGGCCACTTCGCCGCGGCATTTAGTTGTTTGTGTAGAGGCG